GGTGGTGGGGGAGGAAGGGAGGGAGAAGGGAACTGGGATTGTCATGTAAAACAATCTTGTTTCTAATTCAAATTAAAATATGATTAAAAAATCCTGTTTATTAGAAAATGGATAGGGGCTGGGCAGTGGTAAGGCATGCCTTTAATTCCAGCACTTGGGAGGCAGAGGCAGGCAGATCTCTGTGAGTTCAAGGCCAGCCTGATCTACATAGTGAGTTCCAGGACAGCCAGGGCTACACAGAGAAACCCTATCTTGAAAAGCCCCCCCAAAAAAAACAAAAGAAAGAAAAAGAAAAGAAAAAAGGAAAAAACTAAAGAAAGAAAAAGAAAATAGACAGGGATAACACAGCCATTTAAGGGAACTCTGAACCTCGGTGAAAAGATCTTAAAGAAAAAGAAAAGAAAGAAAAAGACTCCATTGCCACCTTTTAGACATGAAACTAACCCTGAAGAATGCCTTTGTGGGAGTGAGAGTATAGTTTAGTGGTACAGCACTTTCCAAGACCGTCTGAGGTATTGGGTATTACCCCAAGTTCTATAAAAAATAAATAAATAAAAACCACCCTGGAGTACTCAGATCAGCATTCAAGCATTCATCTTATTTATTTGCTTTAAACATCATTATAGTTTACATCTTTTTTTAAAAAATATTTTATTTTTTTTATTATGCATGCAGCATTCTACTTCCATGTACATCTGCACGCCAGAAGAGGTCACCAGATCTCATCAGGGATGGTTGTGCCCCACCATGTGGTTGCTGGGAATTGAACTCAGGACCTCTGGAAGAGGAGTCAGTGCTCTTAACCTCTGAGCCATCTCTCTAGCCCCAGTTTACATCTTTTTAAAGGAAATCTCTATTGAGTTAAAAAAGAAAAACTCTGCCCTTCCCAAATCAACATCTAAATGGAGCCATCACTGTGTGAGAATAAGGACAGATGACCTAAGGGGCCCTGAAATACTCTAGGCAAAGACACAGATCTGCTGGGGGCAGAAGCAAGCTTCAGTCTTCACAGCCTCACTGTGGCCAAGAACTCCAGGGACACGTGGAGCCAAAGGCTTTCAGGTCTCCTAGAAGCCACCGAATTCTAACTGTAGTATTAACACTCTCTGATTGCAGCCAAGACTTTCCCTATAAAATACAGATGACAAATACACTGTGCCAGACAGTGGCTGAGAGAATTACATGAAAACAGGGTGAGCATAGTACAGGGAGGCCCTGGGCCCCTCAACCAGCTAATTACAAGATGCAAACACCAGGACCCAGGGCTACTCTTAAAGAACTGCTCTCCTCACCCCAAACCACATCTCGAAGCCTCTGGAGCCCCATCCTGATTCGTGAGTGAAGTGGGTGGGGGAACAACTTGGACTCTAAGCCACATATAATGACAGGGGTAGATAAGATTTCAAGGATGTCAGCCCTCAGCTCCAGCCTCTGGTGCCTCCTCCCCCTCACAGAGAGGCTGCTGAGTTAGCCTGGGGGTGAGGGTGGGGGAAGCTCATGTATACTCCACCCTTTCTGCTCTGAGGCTCAGATAAATGCTCTCTCCCATCCAAGAAGCCAGGAAAACAAGATGAATGTCTGAAAAGCTGTTTGCCCACCACCTCCTACCCACCCAAGGGGGGAAAGCATCTCTAGGATTCATGAGGCTTCATCCAAAGTGAGACTGTGTCCACTCCAATTAACTGGATCGATGATGCTTAATGGCAACAACCCATTCTCATGGTGGCACCCAGACAGTAGCAGGCAGACACTTCCTGATCAAGGGAGGTTGCACAAAAAGGCCTGAGAAACCAAGTGCTGGGGCAAGAAGCCCAGGAAATCAGTACCCAGGGATCATCAGGTGCCAGAGTGCAAGAGAGGACCCTGGTGTTGTGTCCTGAAGTGGAAGGATAAATTCAGGACCTTCCAGAAGCCTTCACTGGCTGCAGCCAGCTACAAGCTCCTGTCTCTCAATTCACAGACCCATTCTGGACTTTGGTGCAGACTCAAAGCCCTGAGGAACCCACTTGAAAAAGTTCTGTCTCGGGCTGCACCCTCTAAATCAAGTGGGAGGGGTTAGAAGGCACACATTTCAAAACTCTCCCAGTGACCCCTAAATGGACCCAAGTTTAAGAGCAGCTGATCAATGGGATGAAACCTAGCTGTGTTGCTATTTTCCCATGAGTCTAGTCTCTTCTTAGTGCATTAACGACACTATAAGCTTAACTGTGGACATGACTAAGAATGTCAAGATGAAGGCATCTTGTGACGCTAGATGTCTGTAGTCCCAACACTCGGGAGGAAAGGCAGAGGCATACCACCGTCTGAACAGATGTGGCCTCCACATAGGAAGGCTTGTAAAATGCACTTCATTTACTTATTTTTTGGGTCCCAGGGGTTGAACCTAGTTCCATCATGAATGCCTGGCATATAATTTAACCCTGAGATATATGGCCACCGATGGCCACCGCCCCCCACACTTTTAAATGGGGGACTTATATTTCTAGAAGGCA